AACTGATAGAAGTAGGAGAAGTTGGTGGAGAAGAAAGTAATTGCATTGTTGCGTTCATTAAAATGCGAAAATTATTTTTTCTCTTTCGTTGATCATTGGTAGGTTTTGATTTGTCATTATTTATGGTGTTGATGGCGTCGGATTTCTTGGCTTTTTGATGATCTGTTGAGGACATGATTGAATCGAATGATTATTGCTTGGATCGACGTTATTAAAAGGGTAAAGAGAAATATAATTATTAAGTTTCGTAAAAAAATAAAAAAATTAAAAGAAAAAAAAAATTATATTATAAATTATTGCAAAGATAAAACGTTAAAATTAAAAAAATTTCTGTGGCGAAAAGAAAGGGGGCTTTTTATATCTTTTTTTTTTTTTCTTAAAACAAATTGAAGTAAAATTATTGGAAATTTTTTTTTTTTTTGAAATAAAAGAAAAAAATTTTTATTTATTTTGTTATTCGGTTAAGCGTAAGATGTATGTTAATGCAAAGTTTTTAAAAAAGTGAAAAAGTTTGAAACATTAATTTGTCATTATAGGTTAAAAAATTTCGTCAAATATAGTAAAGGGATAAATAAGGAATAAAAAAGAAATGGAGAAGATAACAAAGGTCGGTATTATTTTGTAACGGGTTCACATAAGATCGAACGTGGAGGACTTGGCTGAACTCACCAACGCTCAAAAGGCAAGAAGCAAGCTTCGAGCTTTTGGATGGTGGTCCTTTTATAATCAAGATTTCAATTAAAAAAAAATTTTTTTTTTTATTTTATTTATCTATAAATGAATAAAAAATATATGAATCAAGTTACATTAAATGCTCTATACTTTTATATATGAACCCCTCAGATAGATTATAGCAGAGATTCTCACATTATTTTTTTTTTTTTTTTTAAAATTATTTTATTTGTTTATTTATGTATTAGTGTTATTATATTCTTTACAATTATCCAAAATTACAATTATTTAACCGCTTATTTTTTAATCTTTTTTTTAAGCGGATTTTTAAAGAAAGTGTTTAGAATTTCTAATTAAAACACACCTAACCAGAGTCAAGAATTAAATAATAGAAAAAAAAAAAA